GGTCGGGGTCGGGGTCGGGATCGGGGTCGGGGTCGGGGTCGGAGGCAAAGAGCAATCGTGGCTGTCGTTTCCACGTATTTCTATCGTCTGCTTTGATTTCCTTACCTTTGCAACATCGTCAGCTAGAATTTAAGCTATCGTAACACGAGATCAATTAAACAATTATTGCGTGGGACGAGTTTCGAATATCTTAGAATAAAAAGTTGGCCGTCGTGGAAGGACTAGTGCTCTCCCGTTTGAGACACACCGCTCGAGTACGTCAGATTCGCGGATATGAAATGAAAAGAAGAGAAAAGAAAAGTAAAACGTAATCTTAACGCAATACAGATTGTATTCTTTAAATATGAAAAACACGGTACTTGAAAGCGGTCGGTTCGGTATTATTATTATTATTATTATTATTATTATTATTATTATTATTGTATATTGAATATTGTCGTACATAAATACGAGTTATCGCATCGGCAATATCAAGGCGGCATAAAAATATCATGAAATTCTGTTAGAGAGCGGTTTTAAGCGGTTTCCGAAATGTCTATTTTCCCGTGTATTCGCTTTATAAATAGACGAGCAACCTGTTTTCGTGCCGTTTTCGTCCGCCTGATCCCTCTATATCCGGATGTCTGTTCTACAAGTACCGCGACGTTTCGACGCGGTCGCGGAAATTTAATTGACCCAGTCGATTTCTGGAAAGGTGAATTCTAAATATCATGCCGACGCGTTGTAGAAGATGATTTCACATGGACTCTCGTATACTCGAGTGAAATAAATCAACGTCTTATCGTTTCCATCGACTACTTTCTTTTTTTGTACAACCTTGAACCTTGGACAGATAACTTTAATCGAACCTTAAAAAAAAAAAAATATATACGTCGAATCGAGTAACATCCTCCATTTTCCAAGTCGGTTAAAAAATGTACGATAAGCAAAATTTCCATCGAACAAAAAATCTCTAGCGGCTCTTCACTCTCTAGCTCTACGGCCGCATACGAAACGATTAATGACATCGCTGAAGAATCGGTGCATCGAGGCTGAAAAGAATGCGATATACCGGCCGAGACGTTGAATAGCGACCTATTCCCGAGGCAGCGAATTGAACATTAATCCGGCTGGGTTGTTTGTTACCAGTTTTATCGCGGTCGATTCTTTCATTACGCCGTGCCCGTGATTCGCTGTCGCTTACGTTGTTGAAAATATCGCTGACAAATTCGTACCGCGTTTCGAGTAGTCGTACCTAGGTAGACTGCATTTGAGAAAAAACTACTCTTAAAAGTACTCGGAAGAAAACGGTGAAACGACTAGTCGCTATTACACTCGACGGTTAACAATTTGTTTGGAAAATGTGACGAATTCAATATATATTTAATCATTAGTTCGAAAATAGAATAATCGTACGGCAAGGACCGCCTAAAAGCATAGGACAGCAGGTATTTGTAGTTCGTACGTTCGTACGTTCGTACGTACATCTCTAGACGCCGTTGTAGCCTCGATGTCGAACTAGTCAAGGAAACCTATACATGTATATGACCTCGTCGGTGATTTCCAAACGACGAAACCGGAAGTCACGGGTGCGTTCCGGCCACGCCTTCTTCATCGATTTAGTCCGCCTATTCTTTGCAACGCCAACGATAAGAAAAAACCATTTTTCGTTTACCGGTGGCCAAATGGTCAGACTAATTCCTTTGCCACTTTGAATCCTATGTGAAAAACGATACATAGCTACGCGCCGTTAAGTTTGCAAACCGCGTCGCGGATATGGTTTAATTTGATGCGGTACAAGGTTTGCGTGCAGCTCGTTGAACGTCCGTATGTAGATACGCCGCGGCCGTGCCGCGCCGCGCCGCCCCGTGTATGTATCTGCAGGACTGCACGCCACAGCCTATGACAGGTCAGAACCGAATGTGTATCACTGGTAGTGGTATATCAAGGTTACAGATGGCCCATGAGCACGCTACCCAGTGACATCTCTAGGTCACCACCCTCGAATCGTCGAATCGGATCGCTAGGTTACTTTTTAAACGTCTTCCTTTTCTCTTCTACCACTGTTTCTGGGCGTGCGAGCTACCATGAAAACCTATTTCTACTATTCTTAGCATACCGCTATTATCATCTTTGACATTACGGATATCTATGTATATTTATTCGGACGAACATACGAAAGACACGATCAGAGTAAACAAACATTGTTAACGATATTTATCTCGATGCGAACGATTAGTTGAGAAAAGATCGCGGTTTGTTTCCGTGTTTTTGATTCGAGAGAGCATGTAGATTTGGAAGCAGTATGTAGTACGTATTATGTAATACGTAGAAAGAAGGTTTGGGCAAACACTGCGATGCATGTAAACCGGCAAGCTCCAACTAGCGCGGTCGCGGTTGTCGGTCGAGAGTGGGATCGTTGAAAGATTAAAAGTAGGTCGACGATTCCGATAGTGGGTTTGCGAGAGTCTCGAGTGAATTTGCTCAACGTTCGTTTTCTATTCAACGATTAGCGCAATGATAATTTCGAGTCGCGACGCAAATTTTAGTTGCCGTGGCGATATTAGACCTCGAACCTGACGTTTCATTGGCGATGGCGGTAAGTTCGATGTTTGATATTTGATACGTGTCGAGTGGCTTTGTCCCTTCTCCTTCTTTCTCCTCCTCGCACCTCCTGGCCGCTGCTCTCTCTTCGTTTGCTAGAGTATCGAGGAATTTGCACGCAATTTGGCATAGCCAGGAAAAAAGGTAACTCGGCGAGACGAGGTGAAATTCTTGGAGCACACTTTTGAACGGAGTACGCTATACTGGCAAACGAATTAGAAGCGAGAAGCTCGGTTTACAAATTCGAGTTTCCTGATGGCGCGAGTTTCGCGAAAAAATTCAATTTTCCAATTTCGAAGCATCTACGTTGACAATTTACATTTGAGAATCTGTACGTGTCAAGTACTTTGGCGTGGAATGTCGGTTCTTGGAAAAGAAATTGGATCGATATCTGATTAGTTCGTCGAGCGCGAATCAACAAATTTACTAGGCAGATATCTATGTTTAATTAAAAAATTGTTGCGCCGATTTCGAAAAACGCTTTACCATTGGCTGGCTGGCAGACGGTTGTAGGTAAAATTTATTCGCGCTGATAGAAGAAGGTTCGACTAGAAACAGTTTCGTCGATCAAACTGTTTTTTCGTACTCGACGAACCAGAATAATAACTGACATTCTATACCGGCTCCAGGCGAGAACAATGATTCTCGTTACGGGTTACAAGTTTATTTAAAAGCTGGTCAGTTACTCAGCGAAGCAGTATCGTTATCGCGAAGAAGCAGTAGACCGCAAAGCAAGTTGGTCGTGTGTGTCGATGCGTCGATGATCAGTTTTCGTGGCCAACGTTCGCGACAGAATCGTAGCTCGCAGTCACGTTGAAAGATTCCTTAGTTGGACGACTTTGCCTGTAACGAGAGTAGTAAAAAGTGTGGGTTCTTTTGAATAATTAAATTCCATTTTATTTATCTATCCATCCATATCCCTCCATTTCTCACCACTGTTACTGTGGGATTCGGTAGAACGAAACTTTTTTAGCTCATCCTTTGCCGAAAGTAGTTTCAGCTGAAGAAAAGAGTCCACTGGTTGCGCACCCGTAGGGAATTTTTTCCCGTGACTTTTTACGTCGCGCCGACCTCCGTCGCGTCGTCGTTTTGCCAACACGCCGAACAAGAATTTACGATAAAAATTTTAAACAAAGTCTATCCGATTTGTCAATTGCTAACTGTTGGATTGGTTGTTGGAATAATTGTAGAGGAATATCATCGTTCACTCGATACGCAACATTTTTGATATCGGTCTCTCGAGAGTAAGAAGAGTATTTCTCTGGGGGTCTAACAAAAGAATGCAAAAGAACATGTTTCTCGGTAGTTGTATTCCTTCTTTCCTCCCACTTATCTGTATGCAGAAATAGCAAAAGCACGTCAGTCTAAGGAGATTCCGAGGATGATCTGTCGCGATTCCAATTCGTCTCTATTCCCTTAATTTGCCTACAATCCATCGCGAACGTAAAATGGAAGCGACCAAGTAATTATCGAGAGAGCTGCTTCCCTGGCTTTCGGGGAAGAAGTCAGGATGCAAGGCCGGGAGCAAATATCTTGCTGGAGCGCGATCCAAATTCATTATCCACGTTCGCATGAGGCGAGACGAGACGAGACGAGACGAGCCGTGCTGCATCGAAATGAATTCCGAAAGTGGGACGTACGCTTATTAGAAATTCCTGGATTATTCCAGCGTACACGTGTACTTGCTACCGGTATATTTGGACAGCTGAAATCGAGCAGGAACAAAAAGTCGCCAAGAGCCTCCGACCGATGAACCAGTCCGCAGGGTGGTGTGTTTTGTCGTCATTGTCGTCATTGTCGTCGTTGTCGTCGTCGTCGTCGTCGTTGTCACGACCGTCGCGTGAGAACAGTTACCGAACAATCAACGTCAGTCGACCGGCGGATTTTCAGGGAGTCGGTCATTCCGAGATAAAAATCATTTAGCAGCGATTTGTGTTTCCACCGTGAAACCCTCTCGCATCAACAACGACAACTTTCGTGGTTGCATACGTTTTCTCCTTGTCTTGTTCGATAGACGACTATTATTATTATTATTATTATTATTATTATTATTATTATTGTTGTTGTTGTTGTTATTGTTATTGTTATTGTTATTGTTGTTGTTGTTGTTGTTATTATTATTATTATTATTAGATAATATTCGTATTAGTCAGTATTTTCTCTGTAATTTCTCATAATCGAAAACTTTGCTACATATGTACTTACGTAGGTACATTACGTTTAACAGTATGAAAATGGAATGTTACCTTTACAGAATTCTGTATACCTAGGTACGAGTTATAGCAGTATTCGTACTAGCTCGACAGCTCGCTTCAAGTTTTAGTATTACATAGTTCGAGTCTCGTGTTACTCGAACGATAGATATTGTCAAAAATCAGGTAAGTTAAGTTATATATAAAAATTTTGATCAATTTCAGAGCAATGATTGGTGAACAGGGAATATAGACGGTTCCGGGTAGGAAAGCGTGGATCTTGTCCCTCGCAGGATCGAAGGAACGGTCCTTTATCTGGGTCACCGTCTTCGCCGTTACCTCACCCTTCCCCCTCACGTACACCTTTGATAGCTTCAACCATTTGAACACCGTAAGTACAACATTACAAGATTTTTTATCGTTTCGATTCGCATCGCTTCAGATCGGCTCGACATTTCGATTACATCATCGAGATCTGGCTAGTTTATTCCTAGAACACGTTCTCTATCGATACAATGACGCTACGTTAACAATTATATTACTTGTCTGATTCTCGTCAATGCCAATTCGGGTTTCTCTAGCACCGCGCGAGCTAGTTTTTTTCTAAACGATAAACACCTTTAAGTAAATCTCGCACTGAAATCTTGCACGCCTCTTCGTGTTACATATTTCTATAGCGAAATTGTTACAGCTTGAATCGTCAAGATCGAATCGAAACAAATTTACATTTATTTCGGAATTTACTTAGCCAAATAGCGTCAAATTATCTGCAAATATTAGGACTCTACAGCCACGGAGCAAGCTGGAATATCGTCTACAAATAGAACGAACAGCACGGTAGCCCTAAATGCAAACCGTGGGGAATATATCGTACATTGACAGAATTTGCCGCGATAAGTGGCCGTTGAAGTTGCAGTAATTTCAGAACGTCTCCATGTTCGGGTAAACTGCGAAGATGAAAGAGCTTATTTGCTTCTTTGTTATGTACAAGTAATCTTTCTAAGAAATAAATATTCGACAAATGTTTTTCACATTTGACTTGCATATCAGGCGGTAGATTACGTGAAAAGCGAACCGCGCCAAGACCAAGTATCGAGAGAAACGCGGAAAGAGGCTGGCGAAAAGCATAAATAAACGAGAGGTATAGCTGTATCGATCAGTCAGGATGAACCGCGTCGTCTGGGTCGCGTAGTTGCCAGCTTCGATGTCCGGTTGTCCCGAAGGAATGCGCAACTCGGTAAAAAAAAAAAGAAAAAAAAAACAGGTCGAAAAGAGTCCTCTGTAACCCCGCGCCCCGCTGGATCGCACCGCACCGCACCGCACCGCACCGCACCGCACCGCACCGCACCGCACCGCACCGCACCGCACCGCACCGCACCGCACTGCACTGCACTGCACTGCACTGCACTTGCACTCTTCTAACCTCTCTTCCTCGTTGTAGTACGCGCGCGCGCGCGCGCGCTTAATTGAGTTTCATAGAAGACACGAGTCCGGCCAATGTCGTCTCTTCCGATGATAGATTTGATATCCATATGTACCTATTGTCATCGGAAGGAACAGAATGATCTTGTAAGTGAAATAAACATTCGATGATGAACACAAGATACACATTACCGTTGCGAATAATCTCGATACAATATAAATATTTAGATCGCTTATCGTCAATTCTTTCATTTGGAAATTCTTCGTACGTACTTGTGTACGTTTTACCTACGTTTCGTTATTTTGTATAACGTTTCTACTACTCCAACTGTTGTTTAGCTCATCGCACTGATTGTGAGATTTAAACGAACGTGTCGTGCATATACAAGGTAATTTCAACCCAAGATTTACAACGAATAACGCAACATTTCTATTTGAACGTAATAGACCAACGACGAATAGTACTGGTATCCGACATCGGGGTGTCGCGGAGACTGTACCGCGAGTGGGAGATTCGATTCCCACGCAAAGGGTTAGAAGGTTAGAACGATGTACGATAGATACTGTGTGGACGTTGTAAACGTTGGTCGCACAGCATTAAAAAAGTTAATTAATCAAAAGTATTGTCTTTAGTTGCACATTTAAAAGAGATTGCTGAAAAATTCCAAGTGTAAAGTAGGGCGGTTCATTTAAGAAATGGTTCGAAAAAGGCATCTATTCGTCGAATCGTGGTAGCGAGAACGTATTTAGACGTCGGCACGGCGTCGAAGAGGTTGATAATCGAGATACACAAATGACTGCAAGTGAATTTATAGCTAGGAGCAGTATATACACGTTAACATAATAAAAGAAAAATATTTGGGTTCGGCAGTAACTGTAGGTAGTCCGAACATCTAAAAGCTTAGCTAATTGTTGGTTGTATGATGCTGCCACCGCGACCAAAGAGATAACTAGCATTCTACACCACTCCACGTAGTGGTTTTCTGTATCTGCTTGTACCTCGATGGAAAGACATCTCGCGTCGTAGCCGAAACTTGTTCTTTATATATATAGATATAGATATAGATATATAAATATATAGATAGATATAGATATAAACATATACATACGATATATAGATACACATATAACAGATACATGTGCGTACGTGTACTTACATATATATAATTATACATCTATATATGTACGTATATAATTTTTGTTTGGTGCGAAGATTTTACGTGTCCCGCCGCGTCTGGGTAAGTGTGGTAGTGATTGCGGAACAAACGGATTACAGCGGGAAAGTCCAGGAGGGAAACGGTGATTTTTCAGTGAAAGTGTTTCGGTGAGTTGCAATCGAGGAGAGAAACGGGCAGAATATCGATGGTGTTAAAATTATGTTAAAAAGCTGGTCGACTGACGTTAACGGTTTAGAGAATTTGTTTGTAATTAAAATTGGTCGTTGCATCGTTTTCTCGAACCAGTTGGTTAAAATGTCGAAAGGTGAATTTCGAAATTAGCAGTTGATTTCCTTCTCCGGTAACTTGATTGGCGGACAACCGACCGCGAGCGCTCGGTAATAAATCATCATTCCTGATGACAGTAATACGCTCTATTCTCTCACGAGTTGAACGCTTCCGCGTATAACACCTCGCCGCGCCGCCTCGCCGCCTCGCCGCCTCGCCGCCTCGCCGCTTGCCGTTGCGTGTGCAATCGCGCGCACGCAGCCAGGCGAGCATCGTTCACACAGACGTAACACGTAGGAAATGACCAATCAACGCGGACCTTCGTGTAGAGAACTGTACGACATATTTCCTTGACGTGTGAAAGATACGCTTGCAGCTTGCAGCTCGCAGGTTGCAAAGTTAGCGACCAGGCTCCGAGGGAACGAAGAGATATGTGTCGTTCCAAGGAGAGAACGTAGTCTCGTATAACACGATCTAGCCAACTTATGAAAACGATTACGGGCTAGACAAATTTAACCATGTTGCATCGATGAGTGTGAGTGTACAAACTACATACAAAGGTCTGGGAGGGCGCAGAGTACAGGTATGCGGAGATGATAGCAGTGCGAAAATAAGTACAATATTACCGGTATATTTAATCACAAGAGAAGCATATCGCGTCGTGTCGCACGTACCGATCGCAATCCGGGAACGGAATTGTCCATTTCTATCAGTGGTGAGTTTATCGAAATAAATTGATTTGCAAAATTAATCACGGATGCGTTTCTGTTAAATAACGGTTAAAATTCCATAGCACGATTCTACCTGCTCGCACCAGCATTAAAATCGAGATTGTTAAATAATTAAATAACAAGACAAGTAAAATGGACCGTTACGTGGTCGAAGTAAACGTTCGAAAATTGATCGATGAAAGCGTTTTGGAAAACGCGACACGAGTCACGTGTCCTCGAGTAAAGGCCAACGCTATTATCTTAACCACTTGCGGTGCAAAGAAATTCACGGTTGCGCGTGCCAGAACAGTCGAGTGCAAATTACACGATAGCGTGGTATTTTTGAAAACAGTTTGAAACGCGTAACGGTACAAGACACATTTACACTCGTACGTAGTTTCACTCGGTTTTTTATGTTTAGCGCACATTACACACCTCCGTTGTGGTTTTTTTTGTTGGCGTAATTTCTTTTTCTGCGACAATCGCGTCTGTCTTTTCACCGCAGGTGGTTAAATCAGTCGAATGGCCGGGTCTCGAATCAGTTTTCATTCAAGAACAAGTAACAATCATTTCCGAGCGATTTGTACCGTGCAAAGGGTACTCCTCTGTTTTTTATCGGAACGTGCTGTCGAGACGAGACGAGACGAGACGAGACGAGACGAGACGAGACGAGCGCACGTTTATTACGACGAGGGTTAAGAGTACTCGACACTCGCTTTGCCCGAGATGGAGTCATCCTGGGTGTGCTCGATTCTCCGAGTGCATTTCAGTTTCGTTTTCGCTCTACTCGTGTACCGAACCTAGGAGCAACAAACTGTTTCGCACCGCTACCAGCTGCTCGAATCGAGAAGACTGAAATAATTCAGTTAAGATTTTTCAGCAATCTACGAATTTCAACATTGCTTCTGGATTCGTTCGTTTCGTTAGACAAGAATGGCTATATTTCTCCTCTGACCAACTATTAATCCTTTATCGAATAAATTTAATCTGACTTTATTAAAAACTGTAACATCTAATGGTATCGCAACGGTAAATCGTGGAAAAGGTGTTTTAAACGTCCTTTTTGGATCGCTATCAAAGTTTAATCGTCACGTTGTTGATACGCGAATGGTAGATAATGTTGAATTGTAAAACGTGGACGGTCTTCCAACTAAAGTAAACTGTTGGCTGTAAAATTTGGTTATTCGATTACGATTACTGGTCGGGAGCGCCGTCACTGTCCATCCGGTCAGGATAACGTGTTTAACGTTAGAACGATGTAGATAGTAAAGTATGGGAGTCGAAGAGAAGCAATCGTATATCGTTTCTTTTCTGGACATATGCCGAGAGAATGAATCTGCATATCGGTTGGTGTAGCGTCGTTAAAATAAAACTGGATAAAAGTACGAGCACGAGTATCAAATCTAACACGGTGTTTCAGACGAGAACACGATGCCGAAAAAGCAAAGTTCCTTGACGAAATTCGAGGCGCTGATGGTGGTAAGCTTAACGGTGGTCATCCAACTGAATGGCTGTTGGAGTTTACCATCGCATAGAAGTAGACATCACGCGGACATGTCCCACGAGGACGCGAAAGGTTTCGGCAGAACGAGCGAGGAGCTACCGAGACCAGCTGCCCTCAATTCGAACGACGATCCGTTGATAGTCGAGACCAAGAAGGGCAAGGTCATGGGCAAGACCATGACTGCCACCACGGGAAAGGAGGTCGACGCCTGGTTCGGAATTCCTTACGCGCAGAAACCACTCGGTAAGTTGAAACTGCTCGATCTACGTAATTAACCTTTTACCGAAGACGCCGCGACGGGGCGTTGATCGTACCTGCACGCGTCATTCCGATCCGCAACAATCCTCCTTCCTTCTTGAATCTCTTTTCTCGTTGAACAGAGGTTGTAGCTTGATGCAAGTTTCGTTACCATAGTAAGACATTTCTTTGGAATCCGTCGACCCGTCAGAGTTTCTTGGACAAGTATTTATTGCGCACGCACACTTGTTTCCACGTGGTTTGGGTTGCGAGCAGCGATGCTGTTTCAGGACCTCTGAGATTTCGGCATCCGAGACCAGCGGAACGGTGGTCGGGGATCTTGAACGCCACCACGCTACCGAATAGTTGCGTGCAGATTCTGGACACGGTGTTTGGCGACTTCCCAGGCGCTACTATGTGGAATCCAAACACGCCGCTTAGCGAGGATTGCCTTTACGTGAACGTGGTCGCGCCACGGCCTAGGCCTACCAATGCCGCTGTTTTGGTATGGATATTCGGTGGTGAGTTGTAGCTGACACCTGTTTCTAGTTTCGACCGATTCGTAGATTAGAGATCGGTCCCGTGCGCGTCGCGTCGCCTAGACCGATGGCCGTTTCTATACGAGGCCGAGTTTCGAACTCGGAGCTAGTTTTCGTGTTCTTTTACTACTTGAAACGCATGTGTTTACTGTACAACTGGGTAATCCGGATCGGATGGGACAAGATTCATAAATCGTTCGGATATCTCGGTTATCGAGACAAACGATAACTCTGTAACGCGTTGTAAGAGTTGTTCGAGTAAAAGTGAATATCGATATTAGGGCTGGCTAGATTGGCTGATAGCGGTAGAAACGAGTATAGATAGAAGGATGGAGTGAATCGAGTCGAGATGGAACCGCGCGCAATCCTTGTAGGTGGCTTTTACTCTGGATCAGCGACCCTCGATGTTTACGATCACAAAACGTTGGTGTCGGAAGAAAATGTGATTTTGGTCTCGATGCAATATCGAGTCGCCAGCCTGGGTTTCCTCTACTTCGGAACGTCGGACGTACCTGGGAATGCCGGGCTGTTTGATCAGCTGATGGCCCTCGAGTGGGTCCGTGACAATATCGCTGCGTTTGGCGGAAATCCTGACAACGTGACCCTGTTCGGGGAGAGCGCGGGTGCAGTTTCCGTTTCTATGCACCTACTTTCGCCTCTGTCAAGGTGCGCATACCTCCTCTTTCTCCTTATTGTTAGTCAGTTTACATTGTTTTGTTGTCGGTGCCATTGACATTTACGCTACCGATCGTAAGCTTCGAGCTTCCTCCGATACGTAACTCGATACGACCTTGAATATATCTGCAAAACGGTCCGATTCCGATTCCGATTCCGATACCGATACCGATACCGATACCCTCTGAGGGTTATGCTCTCGTCGGTATACGACGCGTTTGTTGTCGTCAGTTGTAAAGTAAAGGAGGGAATCGTAAAAGAGTAGTTTGAAACCTATGAGCGGTAGTAGACACAGCTACTAGTCTCTACTGTCTATGTCTACCGTAAATGGATCGTACGATTCCGGCGAGAGCAGAGTTTAACCAGAGACACCGCGATGCGTGTTTGCGTTCCAGGCACTTGTTTAACCAAGCCATCATGCAGTCAGGCTCACCCACAGCTCCGTGGGCCATCATTAAGCGCGACGAATCGATAGTGCGTGGCATCCGACTGGCGGAGGCCGTCGGCTGTCCTCACGATCGCGAGAACTTACGGGAGGTGATCGATTGCTTGATAAACAAGGATCCGGTGGACCTTGTGAAAAACGAGTGGGGCACTCTCGGTATTTGCGAATTTCCTTTCGTGCCCGTTATAGACGGCGCCTTCCTCGACGAGACGCCGCAACGCTCCCTGCTCACCGCATCGTTCAAGAAGGCCAATATCATGATGGGCTCCAACACCGAGGAGGGTTTCTATTTTATCATTTATTATCTGACCGAACTGTTTCGCATCGACGGCGCCGAGGACGTCAAGGTCAGCAGGGACAAGTTTGTTACTGCCATCACCGAACTGAACCCGTACGTCAGTCATATCGGTCGGCAAGCGATCATCTACGAGTACACCGATTGGCTGCGCCCGGACGACCCGCACGCGAATCGCGACGCTTTAGACAAAATTGTCGGCGACTATCAATTCACCTGTAACGTTAACGAATTCGCTGGTCGATACGCGGATACGGGAAACGACGTTTACATGTATTACTACAAGCACAGGTGAGTAGATTTATCGTTATCACGTTGCGTTGCGTTGCGTTGCGTTGCGTTGCTACGATCACGATTATTAAACTATTCGGACCGATTCACATCTATCCTTTTACATTTACTCCCTTTGTAGATCTGCTAATAATCCCTGGCCGAGATGGACTGGTGTGATGCATGCAGACGAGATCAATTACATCTTCGGGGAGCCATTGGACCCCTCGAAAGGTTACACGTCGGAAGAAGTGGCCTTGTCCAAGAGGATGATGCGGTATTGGGCAAACTTTGCAAAAACGGGGTACGTCGAGTTTCTCGAAACTTTACCAATACTTTTTTAATCCCGTCGCGCACCGCACCGGCCACTCATTCTCAGTCGAGCCTTTCCCTTTCGATACCCACCTAATAATACGGTATACATACATGTACCTACGGCTGGATATTTTTGCTAATTTAAAATACTCTCGAATACGTGTTACACTGGATCACGGCAAACGACACAAAACAAACTGTTTGCTCGCTAGAAAGCGAAATACAATAATAACGAGTGATAATTGCGTTAGAGATCCAAATATTGGTACCGATGTTGGATCATGGAGCGCGCCTTACTGGCCGCCGCACACAGTCGCGAACAAAGAGTATCTGACCCTGGACACCAACAACTCCGAAATCGGAAACGGGCCTAGAGCGAGGCAGTGCACTTTTTGGAAAAAGTACCTTCCCGAACTTCTCACCGCTACTTGTGAGTAATATTATATACCTACATCATACGATACATACATGTATGTACACTACACGTACACATATGGTATTTTTAATAATATTTTTTATGGTTGAGATATTGCGGAGTAGTTGCAAGGAAAATGTATTCGTGTTTCGTTTATAGGATACTATTATAGTATCAAACGTATATTATACATAGTTGGCAATCCCGATGTGACCAATTATTCGGGTCACTATTGCTTTCTTTCTTTCTTATTCGGGCTGCGGTTCGGTACCGCGGTAAGCTTGATAGAAATTGTACATTATGTTCAGAGTTTTTTCCCTTTTGGCAATGGTCCATATCCACTCTCATTCTTTTTTCGAATTGTATGCATCTAGGTATCTAGGTTATCGCATCTTTTTTTCCAACGACTGCCTTTTTCCTTGGTTTAATCTTTCAAGTGTTTTCGCTTCTTTCGCGATTTGCTGCTCGAATTTCCTTCGATACGCGTTCTTGTCCAATCGATTTACTATACATGTATATGTATGTATATCGCAATTTGATTCTTTCTTACTTTGACCGATTACTTTCGATCGAATTCGCGGCAAGAACAGCCAGAGCTTTCGATCCAGAGGCTTCTCGACGGATTCCTCGTCATCGAGGGTCCGTTTCTCAGCGGTAAGTGGAACGCTTCGCGAACCACGAGATACTTGATACGAGGTCTGAATAAATGATGCAAACTCAAGAGAGCGACGCCGACGTCGCTGCCTCCACCTCCACCTCCACCTCCGCCTCCGCCTCCACCTCCACCTCCGCCTCCGGCACCGCAATAGCATGGATTAACGATTAATAATGGTTATTTAGCCGTGAGAGTTTTGCTAGGCTGATAACGCGTCGAGATACATATCGAGCAACTTTCGGCTGGTCTATTAAAAAGAAATATGCACGGAAAAGGATCCATCAACGATTACAAGTTCGAGACGTTGGCGCGTTCGTACCGATATGGCCAACAGGGTTGCTACGGTCTGAATACTCTCTATACGGTCTCTCCTACTTTGCTTCGGTTAGTTTCTTTCTATCAAATTATATATTATTACTCGCTGGATTATATAATACAATGTTAGCGAACTTGTAAGTACGATTAAACAACAAGTATCTATGTATCTGCAATCCGCATATCTAGGTAGGTAAGACGCTCTGGTCTGGGACAGCGACACTCTAAATAGAACGACGATATCGCCCGCGCGGCCGCGGCATTGCTTTATAATTACGTCGATCGGCTTCGAAAGGTTAACCGCATGTTACGGCGTGGCGCGGCGCGGCGCGGCGCGGCGCGGCGCGGCACCGTGGTCAAGGCAGACGATACAACACCGGGATGTGTCGTTGTCACGAGCTCTAATGGTCTCGTTTACACGGTAAACTATTGTCGTAACCACAGATACATTCCATTGGTATTTTTCTCGGGTTCCGTATACAGAGAGTTCGAGGATGAATCAACCTCGGCGAATCAACAGTAATTATCGAATTACCGAATTACGGAATGATCTCCGTCGATCACGTGCCTAACTGCCTTTGTCGCGATTCGCCTACACGTCACCAGACGTTGGATTTACTCGTGTCGTTTTGTACGTTCCGTTACCGTCTCTTAGAATAGGGAGAACGTGTAACCCGATAATTACGCATACACGCATAGTTGGCTACGCTTCGGTCGTAACGTAGCGCCGGATGCGAGGAGAATGCCTGAGCCCTGAACGCGGAAGCAGCATCCCTCCGTTGTTCGTTCGATTTCACAATCGATCGAGAACGAAAAGTTCTCGACAAGCGGAAACGGTAATGAAATTTGATCCATCTCCCGCACAACTAGCCAACTTGTCTCACAACCTCGCAACTTTATCGACCAAACGAAACTTTGAGTAAACATTCGCAGCGTATATCGGACTCCACCCTTTTCATTTGAAATTAATCCTTCCACGAGAAATTTACGTCGCAAGACTCGCAGAGCTCGTTGCTGGTCTGAGCTTCGATACTTTGCTCTGACATCGAATCAGTTATCATCGATCATATAAGTAGACGATATTTTTGTGAAATCGATTCCGTTTCCCTGCCAAGTTTCTTATCAATGGTCGTTTAGTTGTTATCGCTTTGTACAATTCGAGAAGTTATATCGTAAAAGTTTGATTATCGCAACAAAAATCTTGTTCGTTGCACCGATCGATCATGTCGAAATGCAATCGAAAAGAGAGGAATGAGCAATTTTCAAATAGGCCGCAAACACGATCGATGCTCACGCTTTCAAAAACAAGACACTGATTATGCGAACGGTGAGGAGAGATAAAAAGGTGGGGCGAATGGCACAGCAGGGTACGACCAGTGCACGGTATGGCACGGGCACGTCGAGGAGGTGGGCTTTGATCGCAGCACCTGGGAACGAAACGAACGGACGAATAGGGCAAACGAGGGTGGGAGGCTGCAACTGGCCGCTTTGCCAGGGTGGATCGATGCTACCGTCACCATCACCGTCACCGTCACCGTCACCGTCACTGTCACTGCCATCGCCATCGCCATCGCCATCGCCATCGCCAACATCATCACCATCGCCAGTACAACCGTCACCGTCATCTCAACCATTGTTGTCACCATGGCATACCCGTTCGCATGTCACACGTACACTTGACCAACACGCGTGGATAATTGCACGTTAATCGGCCATCCATCCAGTGAGATTTTCTTGTTGAATACCGCAGTGACTTTACGATTGATCGTTGTAGAATTTTTGCAATAGTTATGTTTCAACGATTTCTAAGGAAAAAGTGTATACTATTAGCGTACGATAGGCTTTTCGTCGAGTTTCATTGACTGTAACAAATTTTGATTCGACTAAAAATCTTGCAATCTTGAAATTTGAAATTTCATCCGTCTTTTGTTTCAGCGAAACTGGAACATGCCTCGAAAGAGCCATGCAGCGGCACCAGTTCGAACCATGGTAAACATCTGATGATTGCGATCACGAGCCTGATGCTGATCGCCGGGATGTTCGATCACAGAATCGGTCTTGTACCGAACTTTGACACCAGAGGCTTCGTTTAGCTCTTGCACCAAGACGCCCGGACCGTCCTCGATCGTTGAGGAAATTAAGATCGGTTTACGAGACGTATGAACAAGTCCGAAAATACGCACTGGCGGAACGAGGACGAGCAAGAATGAAGAAACTTGCAGACAACGCAACAGTCGTATAAGCTGTCGCGACGAGTCGACGGTATCGCTGATGACCAGACTGGAATCAACAACAAAAATGGAAAAATACAAAATTATAAACAGACATATCAATGCGGTCATGTGTCCTCGATTGGCCGAGCGCGCTCGACGAGTCCATGTTTCGGTGGTGATAGCATACGTACACGGGCAGACCTACGGAAATCTCTTCGAGATACAGAATGGTAGAAACTGTATACTAGACGAGAGGAGGACACGAGAATCTTGTTCAACTCGATGTCATGGAAAAGTGCCATTTTATTTCTTTTTCTTTTTTATTCTGTCAACGGATCAGGAATTGGCTCTGGCTGCGAAGCAAGACGAGGACGGGGACGGGAGAAAAAGGGCAACGGCAAGGGCAAGATCAAAATTAAGGATAAGGACTGATCAGTGAACGAAACCGTAGTTTGCGATTCTGACGGAGCCGCGGTCACAGAAGACGAGAGTAATCGAAGACAAAAATGAGACTGCTACAGCAAACGGTTGAAACAACTTCAACTTTGAATTTCATTAAGCACGATAAAATATATCGTTAATAAGAGGAAAGAACTTGCGAATCGGACGGGTGTTGTTACGCGCTCGACATCGATTCGAAAAAAAAACCTTTCGATAACCTCAGTCGCGGTAACATGCATTCCAATCCGGGCATCTTAACGGGAGCTACAACTACTCGTACTAAAATTTACCATCGCGTCTCGTCCTCTACTTTCCATCGTGTTTGTAATATCACTCGTCGCATTTTCTTCCGTTTTCCATCAATCGAATCGCGATCGAATAGAAACCAAACGAAATGAAACAAGTAGAATCGGATCAATTGACATTTTTTTCAAATATTGCTTTTTCCCTCGGTAATGGATATATTTCGGCGAGGTTCATCGTAACGTTGTGACGCGCACACAGAACACGCGAAACAGAGGATCTAAACTTGGAATCGAGGAACAAGCGGGTACTTTTTAGATTCCTACTTGTTACGTGTCCTTTTAGACGAATGTTGGCCGACGCATGAAAATTTGCCAGCAAGACATCGAGTCCTCGTAAAATGTCTTCAACTTTCAACAATCTCCCTGATCACGAAAAAGTAAATTAATCTTTTCGCTAAACAGTTTGTATGCATATGTGTATTTAAATGTACACGAGCTCACGCGCTAATGTGCGCGAGTGGGTGTACGCGTGCGTGTGTATATGTGTTCGTACGAGTGTGCGTAAATGTTGAAAACGTTGTTGGGATTACTTTGCAAAGGACATAGATGTTGTATATACAGTATGGTATATGCAGATAAATAATATTCAATCTAGTATTTTATCTTTTTATTTAGCTGGCAAGGCGTTGACGCTGAATCGACGCGATACGTGCGACGTCTGTTTTTACAAAAGTAACGATGAAAATGATTTTCTTAAACAATTGTTTTCAAAGAAAATCACGATTAAATGTTGTCTCCTTAGAAATATGGCTCGCAGTTTTCTGAATGTTTGTTTTATCTGAATTTTCCAAAGAAAAAAAGGATACATCCAGCGCTCGATGCGACAGCATTAAGCAATATTTGTCGGCCTAAAACTGCAAGATGAAACAAAAGCACGTCGATACCGCTGGAATCGTATACAGGAAATTAAAATTAATCCAAGTTTGTTGCTTGCAACGCTGTGCCCCGCCTTGCCAAAGTTCTTACTCGGTTGGATAACGCGACGAGTTTTCAGTCGTCGATTGCAACTTACGCGTAAAAATTACATTTTCATTTCCTTCTTTCTCGAACAGACCGTTCGTTTTTCCGTGGAATTTTATCGTCGCGAAATATAAAGCAATTTCAACGTTAGTTAGGCTATTCTAAAGCGTAATCGTAAAGCTTTCGATTACGCACGGGCTACGGCAAACAGGTTAAAGCAATTTATGACATGTATGAAAAATGACATGTAACGGCGAACCACAAAAACATCAAACAATGTCAAACGCAAAGTTGCTTTTTCCACAAAAAACGTTGACGTTTTTCTCGTCGCAAACATTTTCTCACTTCCCATGCAGGCTCTTCCAAAATGAATTCAATCTAACGGAATTTTCGAGCAACGTTATACCGACACGACGTACACAACTTATAACTAATCGACGCGAGAAACGTGACGTCGCTAATAAAAATAAATCGAATATCCGACACATTTGCGCCGTCGCGTTGGCGTCGGTGAACAGCGGAAACACGAGCAGTAAAGTTTAAATAAATCACTCCAGTTCCTGGTCACGTTCCACGAGAAGAAAACAAATCGAATCCTTCGAATTACCAAAAGAGAAAGAAAATAATTAAATATTTCTCCATGCCAAGGTTGGTGCGTGTACGAACTTGTCCCGAATCGAGTTAATTAAGAGTTAATTAATCGCCAATTATTTATAGAGACTATTATTACAAGTATAAGTAGAATGGCACCATGCGCGTACACGTACTCGCATGTGTACTCGTCCTTTGTTCAAGTATGTACAATGTTCAATCGATTATCGAATCCTTCTTTAGTCCGAATCTTGGATACATTCTACGCGGAAATATCGTTTCTTTGTTACAGATGCGTATACTCGACAACATGTACATATGTATGTTTGCGAGTATGGTAGTTATGGTTAAAAGGTTCCATTACTCTATACGTATGTAAAACAGGTGATTTTTGTAATTCTTCTGCTAACCAACTACTACATATACATTTCGTTTACAGGAATAGTCGTTGATTGAATTTAATGACCAACAAGATGAAACTAGATGTATATCGTATAGTATAGGATAGGGAGCTTGCGGGTACGAGTACGCTTCTATCTCATCGCATGAGATTCGCAGCGATAAGTTGGATGCATTATGTACGATAACATTATACATACTATACATATAAACATACCTACGTAAAAATATACATATGTATGTAGAATTGTATAGAGATTATGGTTTAGAGACGGCACCGTCGGCGTCGTCTCGTTATTACTTTGTACATACTTTGTAAACCACAATTATTTATTGCGTCACAACGAAAGAAAACGCAACGCAACGTAAAAGAACCGTATACCGTATCGCACATTTCTCGATCGATTCTGTCGATCCTACGATACGTGATCAGATTCGCATACATATGTATACATATACGTGGTTCTCGTTCAGAATGTACAAGTTGTACAAGTACGGATAACCACCGTATCTGCGCCACCGTGCGTTTCAAAAGAATCCAAGGTATTACGCACGCAAATTGACAATATACAATAATATACATATGCGATAAACGATGGTAATATGATGTACCTGTAGATTCGTTGGAATGGCAAAAGGTAGAAAAGCAATTGTATATCAAAATATGTGAAACCAGACATTTTTTACGATTCTGGCCATTTATCGGGAAAAAGATTACAACTCGAGATAGATACTATATCGTCGAATGGAGGACACGTGTCTGGTATTACATGGCACGGACGATCGAAATCAATCAAGGATTACGATAGATCGACCGAATAAAAAGTTTCTTCTTGAAACGCGTTAAACGTATTCTCAAAGAAACTCGTTTGAGGAGTTTCATCACAACTTACGGCTTACTATTTATGTATCCTCTTTTCTTTTGCTGACAATTATTTACACATTAATCCAGCATAACTTTAATATCGCGAGAAATTTGGTTTAATTTGCGACCTTATCGAGTTGGCTGTCAATGGTCAATTACGTAGGCAACGTAACAAGGCGCTATTCTATGTAGGTACATAATGCGTATAAAAACTAAAAACGTTCCCTGGCAGGGCTACACCGATTGAGACAAATGCGAAGCGCGCGCGCGGTGAGGTTGCAATACTCACTTCTTTCCACTCGTAATTTCAACGTTCATTTCGTCTGTGACATCCACTACTAGTCGAAACTAAAGAGCAATCGATGAACGATGAAACAGGCCGATGGATACATTTCTCGATCCAAACGCAACTCCAATTGGCCAAATTTTGAACGGGTTACGTAGAGGAATTCAAAGATGACGCGTTTCTGGAACGTTTCCATGAAACCCTGTTCGTTCCTATTGATTTTTATTTCATATCCTTAGGCCATCTCGATGCAACCGAATCTATAGCGTCATGTATGTAGTATAGTAGGTCAATCTTTCAACTCGACTCTCTTTTCATTTTCTCGTTTAATTTTCGATCGCTTTCCTCGCGATTCCTTATGCAACTTTTGTTTTATAGTAGAAATGAAATCTCTGTGTTAAAACGGAGTTGGTTAATTGTAATATTGTAGAATACATGAAATTACTAAATCAAAAGTAAAGCCATGCGCGACAAGTTTTAACGACATTGATCAATGATATAGATGTCGAGTAGTCGACAGAAGAATTTCATATTGTTACGTACAAAGGTTGATACATTTTACATCGTTGATCTATAGCTATACAAAGGATTGCGTCGCGTCGCGTCGCGTCGCGTTGCGTTGCGTTGCGTACGAATGAAATCGAACGAAAACAAAGGACACACGTAAAAGTAATTTAAAAAGGGAAAAAAAAAGAAAATAAAAAAAAAACAATGTGCTTTTCATCAGTCACGATGTAATTAATCGCGATCCTATACATATATAATTTTTATGTACGATACAATAAGCGTAAAGCGTGGCATGTCCAAGTCTTTGACCTATCGGGACGATATCAATCGTTCGAGGCCATTTTGATAACAATGCGCGCAGCTGGCTTTCTAGAAAATTACCACCACTGTTCGTGCTATCAATCTCGCAAACAAAAAAACGAAATTTTCAAAGGGATACTTACGTACAACTACTTGGTACTCGCCAACATTTTCAATCGTTGCTCGTCTAGACACGATAATTATAAAACATACATATAACTGTAACGACGAACAAGATATCTTGCGAATCTGCATTCGAAACGATCGATTTTCAGCGTATAACGAATTCATGTAAATATCTCAAATACGTGTACATGTACATATCTCGATACTAACAATAAGAATGGCATATGTATTGGGAAAAAAAGGACAGGTTATAGGTATGTATACGTGGTGTTGATTCTCGTGAATCGTGACTCGAGGGCACATACGATTACAGATGCAGCGTTTCTATCCCGTTTCTATCACAAACAGCACATTTTTTGTTCGTCCGCTTCCTGTTGCGATCGACACGACGCGAAAATCAAGTTCGAAACGCAATTCTGGTCCAATAAAAAAGAAACAAATAGACGCAAAGATCGCTGGTACGATCAAGAGAGAACGGAAACGTTACTTTAAATTATTTATTTGTTCATCTTTTTTCATAAAGACGAGAGAAATATGTTACTTCTGTCAATGGGATTCACAGCGAGTCGCTGGAAAAAGTAGCCCACAGGCCTAAATACGCTCTAATTAACTACGAAACAGAGAGAGAAATAATTAATTAATTATCCTAGCCGACTAACTGACCGAATTTAATACGACGTCTTTTTTAGGCGAAGCGACATCATTCGCATTTTCTCGTTCACTGTTGTCGCGTATCGGATACATAAAACGTGTACGTTTCTTGCCGCAATCGGTTGCCATAGGATTGCTTTGCCCGATGCATTATCAATTACTACCACTGATCGTCTCCATTCGATATGCATATTTCCTGGCCACCAGTCCGTACGAAAATAAATATACTCGCAAACATCGCGTTAGAGTGTTTTAATCTTTCGCAAAGTACGAAACGATAAGAGCTATACACGCTTGACAAACAGTTTCCGAAAAAGATATATACTATATATACTATATGTTTGCGTGTGTATATTCAGAAATTGTAATCAGTATCATATCAGAAGAACGATTCGAGCGTAATAAACACAATCAAAAGATTACTCGAAATTTTCAATCAACGAAAATCAATATAAAATAGTTCGATCGAAGAATTTTCAAAACTGCAACGGGCAGTGCAATCGCGAAGGTCGCGCAAAACGAACACACACAACTTTCCCAACAGCAAACCGATTACCTTAATGTTACCTACACACATAAATATAAACACAAAACATAACGATTATTTATTAAATAACATTATTACCTATTACTATTAATCGGTAGTTACGTATATATTATACGAACAAAAATTTACTGCTTGTATATATCGAGAATATCGTAATAAAAATAATGTACCAACGATTGCGAGAATATGTAAGTTGACGTATCCTTTACGGGAAGAAAGGAAATGATCCTTCAGGTACCCGACAAATTTTATTTAAATCCATTTGTTTGTACATACAGATAACACGATAAACATCAATCGAACGAAACAGACGAACACGATAAAATACATACTTCCATATCTAATATCGCTATTTCGAATATTTTCGTGGGTTTGGCGAAAAATAATCTCACGCAATCAGTGTTTGTCTCGCGTTTTATACAGAATCTATATACACATTATTAAGAATATATGTATCTACGTATCAAGTGTACCGTGGATTCATCTAGTCGAGCAAAATTTCAAGTCTGTATTATTCCATACGTTTCATACGTTTCAAAGTAAATCTAAAACAACACTCTTCCAACTATCAGAAACAAATTAAACGATATCCATATTACGAAGTAAAACGCATGAAATAGAAAGTACGGTATATTACCTCGTTACAACGGCCGGGTGTTATACGTACATATGTATGTAACGGCGGCAGTACTCTACAGAGAGGCCGGTACAGGTTTGTCCACTGTATTCGGTTTCATCACCATTTGCATGCAGCATTCCTTTAGCTGGCTCTCGGAATAAATATTCGCTAAATCTAAGAGTTCTAACCGTGAAAACAAAAGATACAAAATACACAGTAAAATAGAAGAAAAAATGTAGCGAAATATTTACCTCGAATACTCTCCGGAGGTAAATCGACTTGGTCGGTATATAAATATTTTAAGAAAGCTCTATACACATCGTAAGAAAACTCTTGATGTTTTATAATAATACTGTAAGTAGGAAAAATGTTAAAAAACAAAACAAAACAAAACAAAAAAAATGCAGACGATACGTACGAAATTAATCGATCTACCTTTGCTTCTCTTTTTCAGAAGTATTTCGAAACATTCTTCTGAAGTATTGGCTACGTATTTTCAGAACAGCTTTGTGTACATAAATAGGTTTTCCTCGCACTTGTATAACGAGATCGCTAGTACTCTTTGCAAACAAACAACAGGAATCTAATGAAAGATATATATAAAAAAAAAAAAAAAAAAAAACCACGAAATATATACATACATAAGATAGCGAAATATACATACCGAATCATCGAATGCTTCTTTCAGACAATCCGTTAAACTCATTTCTTCCTTTTCGTCGTGAAGAATAAGCGGCTGATGCATGACGCCGGGCGATGCATAATACGCAAGAGCATCATGCATACACCCTACCGGAAATTGTATCGGCTCTGTAACGTTTAGCCCTAGGCATTGACCCCATAGAAATATCTGATTGGCTTCGGTCATTGCTATGCTTATGTGATTATAATGGGAAGTTGCTACATCCAATATTCTTCCCATTATTCGAGACTCTAACTGAAGAAATCATTGCTTTAATTTTTTTATTTTTTTAAATTCAGTAGCATATCATAATTATTCCGCGTTATTTTACCTTAACTGGATAATTGTAACTTTTTTTATCGTTGAGTCCTAATTGGCCATATTTATTTTCACCCCACACATAAAGGACTCCTTCGTAGCTCAATGCTAAAGCATGAGAGTAACCGCACATTACTTTCTCTATACTTACGGACAAATATTATTAATACTCTTTGTACAATTTTCATTGGAATATCGCAAGAAAAAAATAATCGAGTAGTACTTATTATAACTCCGGAAGGTAGAGCGACTTTATGCGGTATCAGTTGATTAATATAATTTCCAATTCCTAGCTGACCGGTTGCATTGGAACCCCAACTGTAAACCTCTCCATCATTCGTGACCGCTATACTCGACGAATGACCACAACTAATGCAAACGACTTTTTTGTCAGCTAACGTGGAATGGACTCTGCTGGGCGTACTTTGATATACGTGAACAGTGGCAGCTACTTGTCCCAAACTATTTTTACCCCATGCATAAACCTAAATAAACGTACGCAAACTTTGATCACCGTTTAGAATTTGATCGTATTTATCTCGAAGCTTCCATTTTACCACCCCGTCGTCTGTTAACGCCAAAGAATGATGACCTCCGCAGGCTATATCCACAACAAATTTGTCGCTTAGGGTTCCTCCTACAAGAACTGGCCTCGAACCTTGGGTGGTAGTTCCATTACCCAGTTCGTAGTAAGTATTATACCCCCAGGAATATACCTTGCGTGCAATCGATGCGATACCATGTATTCCTTGGAACGTTATACTATCGATCTAATATAGTTCCTCACGTGCAAGTTACAAATACCTGTCCATCTGCTGTAAGGGCCAGAACATGGGGACCTTTGCCGTAAGCAAAAAGTTTTATATCTTTATTACGCAACGCATCGACTTTCTTTGGGCAAAGAGTACCGTCGTGGTCACCAGTTCCAAGACATCCGCATGCATTTTTTCCTACGCCGTATACCATTTTATCCTTGGTAACAATTAACGCTTCGTTACCTAAACTACCTGTTTACCAAAATCCAACATTGTTAGATATCGTTTAAACCTTGCAACGTATGGCAGTAACTTCTTATGTATCAAATATTATATTACCATATACAATCACCATGTGAATTTTTGAAATAAATTTAGGTTCTAGGAAACTAAATACTGGCCAATTCTGTAAAGACATTTTTGCATCGCCAAGTAGTTTATCAAACTGCCATCAAATTCTATCGATTCCATGCATTCCACTTTAACGCTTTGGCTCTTAATTATTAAAACGATTATCGATATTTACTTTAACAGTATTATATTTTGATCGGTGGGAGCTGCAGCAATCTCTGGGTAAACAGGAAAAAAAAGCATGAAATTTTAAAAATCAAAAAATTATATACATTTATTTTGTTCGTTTTCGAGAAACTGAAGAAGAAGTCGTATTTATCGTAAATACCGATAAACTGACATTCCGAACGGAATAATAACTTGAATCTCTTTAGGATAAAAATGAATCTGCCATGTACCTGCTGGAAAGGAAATTACAAGCACTGTTTACACAAACATTCCGATCAAGAATTTGTTTCAGCAAATTTCAACACAATATCTAATCACAATGGTCACGATCAGTCACAAATTCACATTGCACAGCAGTGCAGATGCATTGATGAATTCAAGTGCATCGAAATTCGAAACGCATGTACCGATGTACTCTGTCTTGCTCTGTCTGTATTATGTATATAGTTCGTTCCGTCGTCAATACACATATCAGTGGGCACAGCCTGTACTTGATTGTACCCGACCGTACGCAGTACGTGACTTGACGTGACTGTACAGAAGTCAGCCACGCTGACCGACGCTCTAACAGAGCGTCTAATATCTCTATTCTTCGCAACGTCGAACAATTTTAAAATTAGTATGCAATACAAAGAGACGACGCTTTCACTTCTGTCTGATCAGAAATGCCGAAACTTTTGAGGACCGGATAAGCGACACGACGAATACACAGGAATAGTAGTTGCGAACAATTGCGGAGTAAATATCGTTGGAGTTTCGTTTGAGGTTAGAATTTTAAAAAATATACAATTAACGCGTACAAATAGCATTTGGAATGTGTAGTCACATACAAAAATATATCGTTGCATAGAACTCTTACTTGTTCTAGCTGCTGTTTACATCTGTAAAAGTAATAACGACGGTTTAACGAGTGTCGCATGGAATGCGATAATCACCATGAACGAAAGCGATTCAGTTTACGGGACTACATTGTCCCAGGAGTCGATAAAAGTAATCGCAGAGAGTATAGGCGTTGGAAATTTTCCCGACGAAGCTGCCAAAGATCTCGCCGAAGATGTAAGCTACAGACTCAAGGAAATTATACAGGTTTGTTTATTTCTTCGCAAAGAACGTAACCTCTCGAACGTAGAGCGTGTAATGTATACATAAAAATTGGTTTTAAACTCGAACGTTAATTATTCAGGATGCCGCTAAATTTATGAGACATGGAAAACGTCAACGTATGACGACTCACGATATAGATCACGCTCTAAAAATTAAGAATATCGAACCGACCTATGGATTTTTCGCCAAGGACCACGTACCCTTTCGCTTTGCTTCTGGCGGTGGTCGAGAATTACATTTCGTAGAAGAAAAAGAAATCGATCTGAACGAAGTTATATCTATGTCCAGTGGACAAACATGGCCCAAGTTACCCCTAGAAATTACATTGCGCGCTCATTGGCTTTGTATAGATGGCGTACAACCCACGATACCAGAGAATCCACCGCCAGTTTCTAAAGGTAAATATAGCGAAAGTTACAATATCAGGTAAAACTAGTTTTTCGCGATAGTAATGTCATTTTTTTTAACGAATGGTACAATAGATGTACAAAAGTTGGAGAGCGTCGACCCAACGAGTAAACTATCGAACAAGAGTCAGAACATTGGCGTTGGAAAACCAGGAGGTGGAGGAAAGAGTCAGAAATTACGTAACGTAGAAACCGTTCACGTTAAGCAATTAGCGACTCACGAATTAAGCGTCGAACAACAATTGTATTACAAAGAAATTACGGAAGCTTGCGTGGGATCGGACGAGGCACGCAGAGCAGAAGCACTTCAGTCGCTTTCCGCTGATCCTGGTTTACACGAAATGTTGGCACGAATGTGCACTTTTATCGCGGAAGGTGTTCGTGTGAACGTAGTACAAAATCATCTCGCTCTTCTTATTTATCTTATGCGTATGGTTAAAGCTCTTTTGGATAATCCTAGTCTTTATTTGGAAAAATACGTGCGTATTCTCGTTGTTGGTTTATATAATTTCTAACGAATTTTTTTTTACTCGTTCGTTTTTTTTCTTTTCATCGTATGGTAATTTACAGTTACACGAATTGATTCCGTCTATCGCCACTTGTATAGTGTCGCGACAATTATGTATGAGACCAGAAGGAGATAATCATTGGGCGTTGCGAGATTTCGCCTCACGTCTTATGGCTCAAATATGTAAAAATTTTAACACATCTACGAATAACGTACAAACAAGAGTAACTAGAATGTTTAGTCAAGCATTAGCTAAAAATAGTCAGGTACGGTACACAACTATGACGTATACCACGACACGTAAACTATGTGTGAGGGTGTAAGAAGAATGAAATACATTTTTATTATTTTTCAGACTCCACTGGCGTCCCTTTATGGTGCGATCGAGGGACTGTGCGAGCTAGGTCCGGAGGTAATAAAAGCATTGGTCATTCCCAAAATTAAATCGATTTCCGAACGCATAGAATCGTGCATCGAAGGACCAGGTTTGTCAAGCGTGGATAAGAATGGAGCGGGTCATATAAAAACGTTACTTGTGGTACGTAATGTACATGTTTGTTTTGCTTTTTTTTTCGCCAATTGGAATTCGATCGTATAGTAATGGGAAATGATATACTAAAGCGTAAGAGATTTTACAGAAATCAGTGGCTCCAGTTTTAAAAACAGTGCGATCTCCGCCTGATTACGTCGAAGATTACAAACAGGATTACGGTTACATAGGGCCCGCGTTATGCGCAGCAGTTGCAAAAGCTCGGACACAGCCAGCGACGTTAGCGACCACTGCGTCGACAACAACGGCTCTAACGACGAGTCAGCAAGGTCCCACGTGTACCGGAAAAACGATCGTACAAGCTGGTAATTTAATTTAACGATACGAAATACCGTGTATGCTTACGTTATTCATGTACGATTAATTGTTTTTTTCTTTTTCTTCACTCCAGTGACGAGTTCCAGTCCTGGACAACAAACTGGACGAACGATAATGTTAGGTACAAGTAGAACCAGCGGGGGTACTGCTACAAGCGGCGGACAAAAATTTGTAATTTTGCAGTCACGATCGCAAACCCCAACTGCTTCTAATATCAATACCAGTGCGATTCAGCAACAGCAACAACAATCCCAACCACCACAACCGCAGCAACAGCAACAACCAGTTAATAAAATTGTACAAACCAACGTGGTCCAACAAAAGACACATATGCAGAGCAGCGCACCGAAATTAGTAGTCGTGTGTATGTCGAGCAGTACTCACTCTACTACTACGGTAACACAGGTATGCGTCATGTAATATTAAAATTATAGGTAGTTCGAGCAGAGTCGAGATAATTATTTTGTTTAATTTAATTTTTTTTATTTCTTTTTTTTTTGTAGGGAAGTATAACGCCGAAGGCACAAAATGTCTTCATGTCTCAACAAAGTGTCGAATGCTCTCTAAGTCCGGAAGAAGAACAGCATTCTTTTCAGTGACGACCAAGTTAATTTGCGACTTGTTTATAAATTTCCGATACTGTATATAAAAATATATGCGAAACATTAATATGCCTATTAACATATGTTAAGAATAACGATTACTTTCTTTTCTTTTCTTTCTTTTTTCTCTCTTTTCTAGTATGTATCAATAATTGTAGAAAGGTTTCTTAGTTTTGTACAATACAATGTAAAGCGATATATTGTCTTGGAAGTTGTACGATTGCAACTTGATTTAATAATCAAGTTTCCTTTATCTGTCCGAGAATTATACGATTGATAATTGGAATTACATTGAAATAAAATTAAACCTTGTAAACCTTATCGCAGTAGATTTACTGCATCAAGGTAGCTAGTTACATGTCATTTTTGGAGTAACTACATCGAGGATAAGTTAGGGCTGTCAGTCATCTCTCGAGTTCAAAGGTTAATAACATTGAGGTTATCGGATGTTAGCTGCAGATATTTTTTTTTCCTTAAACGACACGTACACCCTTTGATAGAAGGATGTGTATTAGCACGTTGCAGTGTACAATGTGATTTATCGGCAAAAGATTCATTTTAATACAATGGAATATGTATTCTAACTACACCTATGTGTGTACAGGGAATGGAAATGTTTTACTCTTGTCTCATTTGTCCGATTATCTATATTTGAATAAACGAACATGTGAGTTGCGTGGAAGGTAACCTAACCCATAACTAAATGAAAGCTTTCTCTCAAAGGGAAATTTTGTTGCCATTAACCCTCTGCACTCTGCCTATAAGATAGGCACTACATGTAATAGTATATAACTTTGTATACTATTTAATGTTATAGTATAGTATATTTATTTATAAGTAGTATAGAGTATATATAAGTAAAATTATAGTATATAACTTCATAAACGTGTGTTTTTGGTTGGTGTGATGATTATATATGATTAATTAATTTTTTTTTTTTTTTTGAAGAATATATATTACAATATATGTAATATATATCCTATGGGGGCATAAGTAATGTATATATGGAGCGAACTTATAATTGGTAGTAAATCCTAAATGGAAATCATATTCTCTCCTGCTAATAAATCAAGTGGCATAAGATTCAATTGATGTTTACTTTGGAATATCGTATAGAAGTGAATAACAAAAAACAATTGATGTGTTTTAGTTTGAAGTATCAAGTAACTAAACAATAATAATGGAATTACTCACTCTCTCTCTCTCTCCCTCTCTTTCAATGTTAAACATGCATCTTCTCTTTATTGTGGATGTAGATATTGAATTTAATTAAAATAAAGATAGCATCATGGCCCACATCAATACAAACTGAAATCATGTAGATCAAACAGGCTTAATACTTATTCTGTCTTCTTATGGCACTGTACAATGCAATGCAATTCAATCTTTCCAGAGACATATTAAGCTATGTATGTAAGCTACTATCGAACAATACATAATAATAATAATAATAATAATAACCCTGTTAACGTAAATAACATTTAACAATATTGTAACATGGACAGGCACATTTGATCATTAACATAGATGACACTCCTTATAGGAAACCGTTTACTTGATATTCTTTCAAGAGAACAACTATTCATAGTTAAGGAATGGTTGGCCCGCTTTCTGTCGCAATTTCCCCATTTCCATAAGCACACGTTTATCCAAGGGAACACGGTCGAAATAATTAATTAACATATCTTGTAATATCTGTCACGTACAACGTGACTCTATCCCCACTGGATATCCGAGTGCAAAGGGTTAACGGAATCATAGTCGCGGTATCGTACGTCGTCGATAGTAACTAATAAATAATAATAATTATTACTTTCCGCTGTCGGAACCGAATGCAACACAACAGTAGCAATAGATTTCGCATTCCTCGCCGCTAGAGGGACATCAGCGTCAAGTCAGCGACTTTCTCGCAAGCGCTCGAGCAGTCTTTCTCTCGTATATATACAACTTCTAAATCCTTTCCCTCGGGGTCGCAGTCGAGTCGCGCCGCGTTGCGTCGGCACGGGCCGGTCTTCCACCACCACATAGACTAGACTCAAGTCTAGTCTACGCGGAGGGAAGACCGGTGCGCGCGCACCGACTCGACTGCGACCCCCCCTCCCCGGCCGTGCCGGGGAGGGCTCTGCACCCTTTCCATTTCACCAGTTAATGGCCGACCGGCAACGTAGAAGGACTTCTCCTCCCAAGAGAAGAGATTGGTAGCTCTCCCTCACGTTGTCGGGTGGTTAGGTCTGGGTGGTTAGGTCTGGGTGGTTAGGTCTGGGTGGTTAGGTCTGGGTGGTTAGGTCTGGGTGGTTAGGTCTGGGTGGTTAGGTCTGGGTGGTTAGGTCTGGGTGGTTAGGTCTGGGTGGTTAGGTCTGGGTGGTTAGGTCTGGGTGGTTAGGTCTGGGTGGTTAGGTCTGGGTGGTTAGGTCTGGGTGGTTAGGTCTGGGTGGTTAGGTCTGGGTGGTTAGGTCTGGGT